GAGGGCATTCCAAAGTTGGGGGGCAACAGCCGAGAAGGCCCTATTTTGACATTGCATCCCGCTCACGTCTATCAGGGATGGCATCTTCAGAAGGGCCTCCTGGCCGGATCTTAGAGGACGGGCAGGTTTGTATGGAAGAAAACGCTCCCCTTTTAGGTAACCAGGTCCTAAGCCATTTAGGGCTTTATATGTCAAAATAAGCACTTTGGATTGGGCCCGAATTCCCTGCATTGGTTCTAAATACCAAAATAGTTATGGCTGATGAGGTTTCCATGTTTTCCCATTCAGAGAAGCTAATGATGTAAGTTATGCTCCCCCCCCGGCCCCCAGCCAAACTTCTGCAGTTTTGCCATTCCTTACCACAAGTTGCCTCTGACGCATGGCAGTGCCATGAATGAGCCATCTCCAAAATGTCCTGTCCTCTGCTGTCCTGCTAAACTCTTGCAAACTCAAGCCTGTGGCTTCCTTTGGGGAGTCAATCCATCTCGTATTCGGTCTCCCTCTTTTCCTGCTGCCTTCAACCTTTCCCAGCATTATTGTCTTTTCCAGAGTATCCTGCCTTCTTGTGATGTGCCCAAAGTAGGACAGCCTCAGTTTCAACATATATATTTTTTTTTACCTCCAGAGAGAGTTCAGGCTTGATAGGCTGTAGGACCCACTTGTTTGTCTTTCTAGGCCAGGGTATCTGCAAAGCTCTTCTCTAGCATCACATTTCAAACAAATATTTTCCTGTCAGCTTTCACACCCTTGTTTATATACAGTGGGGTCTTGACTTGAGAACTTAATCCGTATTGGAAGACGGTTCTCAAGTCAAAAAGTTCTCAGGTCAAATCTGCATTTCCCATAGGAATGCATTGAAAACCATTTGATCCGTATCTGCTCTTTTCCGTCCCTAGAAACTACTGGGAAGCTGCTATTCTGCCTTCGACCACTAGAGGGGGATATTTTGTTTCTTTTTTTTCTTAGGTCAAGAAAGGTTCAGGGAAGGCAGGGAAAATACAGTCCAGGCAGTACAGTACCAGGCAGTCCGAAGACTGTCTCCCAATCCACTCTCTAAACGCTGGGAGGCGTGAGGAAGCAGACAGGCACCCTTTTCACTGGCCAACAGTTAACTGAAAGTTCAAATTTTGCACTTTCCCTGCCTCCCACGTGGTTTTTTTTCAGTTCTTAACTCAAATCTAAGTATGTAAGTCAAGTCAATATTTTCCTATGAGAGCGGTTCTTAAGTCAAAATGTTCTTAACTCATGCCGTTCTTAAGTCAAGACCCCACTGTATTTCATTGAAGCAATGTACAGTGGCAACTGTGGGGTAAAAACCGTGTGTGGGACGGTTTACCACTTCCTGCCAGGTAGGTCTCCCTTTTGCTGGAACGTATTTGAGCCTTGAATGTGTTTGCTGGAGGAACCATCGACTACAACGGGGGTGGGCAGTTAATTTCTATAGGGGGCCACATGAGAAATCTGAACTGTGTTTGGGGGCCGAACCAACTTTACTTAAAATTAAAATGAAACAGTGATGTTATGATTGTTTTTATTTTATGCTTGTTAATCTCCACAAATACTAAAGAGTTTTATTGTGGTATGTTAAAGATAAGCAACTGATCAACTTTAGACAAAAAGCTATAAAAGGTTTTGATGTCTAGGGAGCCTGACAGGAGCGGCTCGCGGGCCGTATGTGGCCCTCAGGCCTCACTTTGCCCAGGTCTGGAGTACAACAAAGCAAAGCCAAGCATGCGGCTTATATACTGCCTCATAGCGCTGAAAGCATTCTCTGGGCGGTTTACAAGTTAATTATGCAGGCTACACAACAGCAACTATTGTGGGAATAGGGGCGAAACTTGTAAGCAATAATTTGTGTTATATGCGACCTGTCTCTTTATGGGAAAGGCCTAAATGGCAAGTCCTTCTCGGTTGTGAATTGGTGTGGTTTCCTTAAAGAGTCGGTTGTGAGAAATTGATGATTCTAAGGTGGTTTGCTGCTGCTGACTGTTTGCTTTGATTCCTCATACAGCAGCTTTTAAAACCTCTTCTCTTAGGTTATTCTGTAATAACAGACATCCTGCTAACACTGATGTCCATATGCTCCACATATAATAGCATAGTATGGACAGATATTGTAATTCAGTCTCCTTGTGACCTCTTGAAATTTAGGATTAGTTCCTCCGTCTTTCGTCAGACATGTTATCTGGAATGTTCTTACTCTAATACAAGCACATTCAAAAGGCTCCTGCCATTTAATAATTTTTGATAGGAATGCATACTACAGTATGTGATGATGCTGGTCTGCTACCTCCATCAGTCTTGGGCAGTGTAGCTCATAACAACACTATCTTTTCCCCCCCCCCTGTGCTACCAGCAGGAGGAGGATAGGCCTATTCGAGCACTTCCATAATGGGGAACATTCTCTCTGCACTGCAGATTTGGACTAACCCTCTTTGGCCGTTCAGAAAACAGGATCTTCACACAATTCCAAGATGAGAATTATGGTTCAACACTTGGAAAGCCATACCACACAGGAAAATGTTTTTATTGTGCTCATTAGCTGCCTTGAAAAAGGGACAGGAACCCAGATTTAAAAAAAAATACAGGAGAGTAACTATATTAATCCTTTGCAGAAAAAAAAAATCTCCAAGCGTCATGTGGTTCCTTGAGAACTTTAAAAGAACTTTTTAAAAAAGCTTTCACAAACTGTAGCCCACTTTTTCAGAGGCCTAGATATTGCCTTAAATGTCTGTCTGAAGAAATGATCTTTTACATATTTGAAGAAATGGGCTACAGTCCACGAAAGCTTATGGCTAATTAAACCTGCCGTGTCCCTAAAGAGGCACAAGATTCAACATTGTTAAGGTGAACAAAACTGCACATCTTGCACAAATATACTGTCCGTCTCAAAAGACCCATTCTGAAAACAATAATCTCGTTTTTCTCTTCTCACGCCCGCCCACGGCAGGATTGTGGGTCTCTACATGTCTGTTGTTCTGGTTGTCGGCAAGTTCGTCCGAGAGTTTTTCAATGGAATTTCACGCTCCATCATGTTTGAAGAGCTGCCCAATGTGGATCGTGTCCTGAAGCTATGCACTGACATCTTTGTGGCGAGAGAGGCTGGGGAACTGGAGTTGGAAGAACGCCTCTTTGCCAAACTCATCTTCCTGTACAGATCTCCTGAAACAATGATTAAATGGACGAGGGAAGCCAAGGAAAAATAGAGCCAGAACACTCGTCCCTGGTCAGCACTACACGGCACTGATCTTCACGGTGAAAAGCAGCATGAAGCTTTGAGGCACATAGTTAAAGGCATCTAAATCAGGACTGAATGAATGAATGTATCGTGCACAATTATATTTTAGCTTATTGATCTATTTTAATCAGTACAAACAATATGTGCAATTTATCAACCTAAATAAAAGAGGGAATTTAATTATGAAATTATTTCATGTCATATGTAACTATGACACATGTCCCCTCCTCCATCAAAGGAAGTGATTGATCTTAACTGGCTTGGTGGTTCATAGCAGTTCATTTAGTGGCTGAACAGGTGTTTGGCACTTCAAAGCTCTGCCTCCCCTGGCAGGTGCCCACTCGGAGGCCTGGTTTGTCTGCCCCACCTCCTGTGGGCACTGACTGTCTCTTGAGTGGATGCCTGCCAGAGGAGGTGGGGCTTTGAAGCACTAAAAAAAATGATGTAGCTGTTAATCGAACCACTATGAACCACTGAACTGGTGGCCAACTAAATGTGGAAACTCCTTGACCAATAGATAGCCAGAGATTCCACCTTTCCCCCGCCTCCACGACCTACTGGCCCTCCCAGGGCTTCATGGCAGGAAGAGGAGGTAGGAGGGAAGGAGCCCACCAAGCAGGGGTTATATGGAAACCCAGAGGAGTTGGGGCTGTTGGAAGACAAGACGAGGAGGAAAACAGTCAAGAAGACCGGGTGGATGCCTCTGAGTGGGGAAGTGAAGAGCATGATGGACAGGTAAGTGCTGGTTTCATAGCTTCAGATCCAATTCTCCACTGGCTGACTCAGTCTTTGTCTGAAGGAGCTCAGCCAGAAGAATTCCCCCCCCCCCAAGACTGAATTGCAATTGCCAGACAAGTGCTAAAGGAGGGACAGGGCTGTTGGCAGAACTCGACCCCCCCGAAATCAGCATTACTGTCTGTGCAGGATATGAGGGTTTCAGCAGTTGGTTCAGCTGACATGGGACTTCACAGAAGAGAGGCTGAGAGTATGTAAGCTTGAATGCAGTTGGGCTTCAGACATTAGCTAATTCCCTATTCTACACTGTATATAGTTCATTAAAAATGTGGTTAGTGTTTGGACACTGAGCATTCTGTCTAGGAATGGACAATGTTCTTATATGCCGTCAAGTCACCTCTAACTTACGGTGAATGCGCAATATCCAACATGTCCCGTCCTCAACAGATCTGCTCAGCTTTTGCAAATGCAAACCTGTGGTTTCCTTTAGGGAGCAAATCCATCTTGTATTTGGTCTTCCTCTTTTCTGCTGCCCTTAACCTTTCCCAGCATTATTGTCTTTTCTAGAGAATCCTGCTTTCCCATGAGGTGTCCAAAGCAGGATAGCCTCAGTCTCAACATTTTTGCCTCCAGAGATGATCCAGGATGACCCTATTCTCCCAGAGAAGGCATATTCCTTCACACTCCCCAATGAAAACAGCTGATTTATACTACAAAGGTTGATTTTTTTTAATACTCAGATCCACCTTCAAAGCAACTGTAACATTTATAGGTTCACCTTCAAAGCAACTGTAACATTTATAGGAGGTCTGAAACTGCTCCTTTAATCTTGGCAACCTCCCTGCTATAGATCTGTAGCATGAATAGGAAAGCAAAATATTACACAGCCATATACATACAATGAAATGCTGGATCTTGGGGGTTTCTCCTCCTTTGCTTCCTATACTGACCAGGTGATTGTCTGCATACACAACAAATGAGTTATGGCAGGTGTAAAGAAGGGAAAATGTGGAAAGCCAGAGTAAGAGCGAGAGGGCAGACACCCATTAGTTGCCCCTGACAGCTGGTAAAGGGAGTTCTGCAGCCTCTGCTCTTAGTTGTGATGCCTCACAGATGTGAATGGAACTTTCTTCCACAACTTCATCTAGTACTATTTGTTACTGTCACCTGAAGGTATCTGCAGAAAGAGAAGGACTGGAGATTTGATTTAATAAGCACACGGCAGGTGAAAGAAGAGAAAGGTTTTATTTTATCGTGGTTACCTCCCATAAACACGTTCACTCTAAACATTAATGCAGTTCATCAGCAGAGGAGTGCAACACTGCCATGGAGAAATGCGCCGTCTCATTCTTCAAGCCGTATTAATAACGATCAGCAAAAGTTTTAACATGCAAGAACAGCATCTTTGGGAGAGTCTTTTTGTTTTGTTTCCAAAAAGCCTTTATAGAAAATAAGGCCTCCCTTAGTGCCATGCTGAAACACTGCTACAGGACAAAGCAGAACCTACAGTGGTTTTCCCCCCAGGCTTCCCACCTTGCAAACTGCACCATCCCTTAAGTCTCATTGCACCATGCATCACAGAGCAGTTGTAGTTCAGCCCAGCTGTTCCCTCTACAATCACATCAACTGCCTTATCCTTCACCTGCTGGGGCTTCACCCTCTTTCTCCGAGCAAGGAGAGAGGGAACAGCTCGGAGACAGGCAAAGAAAAAGACCGTTTCATCTCCCATACCTTCAGGGTATTTACAAGATACCCAGCTCATGTGCAGGTTACAACACCATAACCTGATTTTTAGCTCTACTGTTGTCTTTTCAAAAGGCAGAGGGGTTCAGAAACTCCTGGGTGAATGAAATCCCAGGAATCTAACTCAGAAGGCTCTATGGGCAGCAAGAGGTTAAGCTGTTGTATTGATAGGCTCAGATACTCTCTGAAAGGGGCAGAAGAGTAAAATATTCCTGGCTCCTTCACAATGAAGACTGGAAGCAGCAAAGGCATCATTTGTTCAGTATAAATCCCAAGCACAAAGTGTTCTTAGAAACCAACAACAAAAAAGAGAAGTTACCTACCTGTAACTCTGGTTCTTC